ATTAATAAAAAACCCTTTTTTAATTACTGTAATAGGAGAAACAGCACCCAAACAACTGATAACAACCGGCCTAGGTCTTCCAAAGAACACAGAAAACAGARTTCTGAATGAMACCAGTTMAAATTCTGATCTRAAACAAATAACAGTTCTGAATTTTAGGGTTTTCTCTCAAAACCCTAAAGAAAACACAGATTTTCCAGCCGCACCTCTCAGACTAAACCAAGATGATCTTTTCCAAAGTCAATCACAAGAAAAAAGCCTACTTTATGAAAAAATCTCTGGCCGCCACCTTCTGGTTGATGCAAAACCCTAATCTTGAGAATCCGAAGCTTCTTCTGATTCTTCATGACTACTGGAACTCTCCCAGACTTCTACGATCTCTTTAGTAGCAGCCACACACTACCAGTAACCTCCAAGAATCAGCCGATCCTCCTTCATTATTGAAAAACTTCCAAACCTAGGAGGTTCTCATGCAGTCGGCCTAATCAGACTAGCATAAGAGCTCCTAGATCGGCTCTGATACCAAGTAGTCGATCTAGACTACAATCAGTCTTGAATTTAAAAGAAAAAAGGATGAAAAAATTGAAGAGAAGAAGTACACGAAGAGAGTTTCAGAAAAAGAGAGAGAAGGTTATGATTTCTGCCGACCCATTCTTAGTATTTATATAACTGTAAAAGGGCTGAATTGCCCTTATTGCTTACATGTCAAATAGAATAAGAAATAACTAATAATAAAGCTGAAATAACAACCAACTAACACTGTCATATCTAACAGAAATATTGCTGCCATACGAACACTATGGGGACCACATCAGTGTTCTCTACAGTAATGACAATCTTTCCTTCAATTTTTTTTTGGAGTTCTACAGGTGGCACTATTTGATCTATGGATCATTATGCTATTTTCTGGAGTACTTGAAGAGCCAGCAACCATGGAACTTTCTATGGAAAGAGAAAGCCTGTTTCAACTATATGCAGATACTTGTAGTTTTCTCATGGGCTGGACCTTCTCTCAAAGATTTTCACACTTCTACTTGAAGAGATTTTGTAGTAAATTGGAATATTGTGTTAGGTGTAGAGTATGGTACACTGCAAAGCATTGGGTGGCCTTTTGCTTTTTCCTGAACAAACTCCCTGAGAACTTCCATGGTACCACCCTCGTGTAGTCAAAATGGAGTCCTTGTCAAGCTTAACACATCACTGTAAACCAATGGAATTCTTGTCCCAATTTAACCCTTGTAATCCAGAGACACTAGCAACATTTTCAGCAGATTAGTTTCTGTAGCAGCTTTTTGGTATGGATGCCTGAAATGAGATTGAAAATTTTATGCATCTGCTTAATCAAAGTAAAAACTTTTTGAATTAACCATAATATCAAGCTATGTGTCATTAGCAACAAGCTCAGAATACTATAATGCATATCATATCTGAAATTTGTCAATTTGGATAAAAAAATTGGTACTTTACTTGATGTGCAGCTTAGCAATGGTTAAGATGTAGGCAATTCATGCCAACTTTTTTGGTCAGCATCAAGTCTTAACCATCTTATGATACATGATATTCTTGGAATAAAATATATAATTTTGTCAACACATTTATATAATGGAAAGTTGCCATCTAGATTTGCTTAACAAATCTAACTTCATATATAAATGTAAATGTTTTAAGGCATAATGTGACTGTTATATGATAAATTGGATTTCAGTGGGCCGATTAGGAGAGCTGATGCTACCAATGCAGAGATCTTAGCTGCTCTTACAGGTCTCCGATGTCAAAATGTTAGGCTCCCCACTTTCCATCAAAGGTGACTGCTAATACGATAAATTGGTTAAGGCAGAAGAGCGGAGGTCCTTGGAGGCTTGCCCATCTGCTGGCTGAAGCTAGAGATATTTTGGCCTCTCTGAGTGTGAAGTTAGTTTGGATTCCCAGGGAACTAAACACTGTAGCTAACAGCTTAGCCAAATCAGGAGCCTATAGAGTTTCTAGGTTTTCTGATTCTTCTTTGCCTTCCTAGTTATGTTTCTGCCCTCTAAGGCTCTTGTACTCTGTTAACTTTTCTCAGTAAACCTTTCTCAAAAAAAAAGTGACTATTATATGGTATGCTCCTGACAAGAATTTTGTTCTTTAATGTTTGCTATCATTTTCATTTACAATTTGCTTATCTAGGTTATACAACATAATTACAAAAAGATTGTATCATCCCCATGCACTCATCTCTAGGACTTTGAGAACAGATGGGCCATATAAATATAGAGTTCACTAAACTCCAAACAACGTTTTCCTAAACGTTCATGCCATTATTATCTTCCATACTGGAGAAAAGGAGGGGAAAACTCAAGTACCTTTCAGCCTCTTGAAGATCAAATTTCTTTGCTCTAACCAAGTCACTTTTATTGGCAGCAATTGCCATAATTATGTTTTTGGATGCCATTTGTTGGAGTTCTTTAACCCAATTTCTCACCCGAATGAAGCTGTCAGTGTCCATGATGTCATATACCAAAAGTGCAGCTGCAGACAATGATTTGACAGAAAAACTATGAGGTATAGATATTGGTTTTGAGATATTACAAGCTCATTAAAGTCAAATGTTGGAGGAGACAACATCTTGAAGTTATATACAGACCATCTGCATCACGATAGTATATTGGGCCCAAAGCATGAAATCGTTCCTGTCCTGCTGTGTCCTGTCATCGAAGAGCAAATCGTCCAATATCAATAACAATTCATGCAGCACATAAAGGACAAAATGCTGACAGACAGTTCCCTCCTAACCACTGAAGGAGACTCTACAACACTATAAAATGGTTAGGAGAGAAGGACAGTGGCCCTTGGCATCTAATATACTATCTGGATGAAACAAGAGATATTATGACTCAGATGACTGTAAGAATTAGATGGATCCTACGGAACTAAATTCTGTGGCTGATGGTCTAGCAAAATCAGGGGTTCATAAGGATTCTTTGTTTAGTGACCACATGTTACCCTTGTAATTTCATTGGAGAGTGTTAGTGGTGTTAGTGAAGGGGTATTTCAGTCTTTGTACTTGTTGAGAATGCTGATGTGTACTGTTATGTTAGTTCGAGTGCCTCTTACTTAAAGAAGGGCACTCAAGTCTTTTTCAATAAGTCAATAATATAATAATAGGTCTGGCCGAATCAAG